CTCCGCGCTGTTGTCGCCCTGTTGATGACGTCAGCTACGCGGTTTTGTCGAGCGCGGTGTAGTCGAACACGGTTTTGTGGTGGAACCAAACTAATGACAATAAACAATACACATTGCATTGTAAGTGTCCACCCTCCCTCTACCTAAGATTAAGGCGGTGGGGAAACGATACAAATAAATGGTTTGCAATACACTTACCTGGACCTTGGGCAGTACGGAGACCACGGAGACCACAATGCAGAAGATGAGATTGAGACTGATAAAGATCTTGCTTGTGGTACAGCCATCTGATTTGGTGTAATAGACGTAGAGTAGCACGATGGCAGCAATGGAGACAGCGTACAACAGAAAGGTGAAGACAAACAGAGCTACGGAAGAGGAGGAGGGGGGAAGATTTGGTATTAGATCTGGCAGTGTAGAATATATGAGGCATTTGCTCAACATGCTGAAGATTTGCCTGATACACCCCTTAGCTCAAAATTGCCGGATTACGCCATCATATACTAGTAGTCGTTTATTTGCTTTTAGTTAGTTTACTCCAGTTTACTTCATGCTTTTCGCTTCATGGGTTGCAGGAATGCCCACCATCATGGTTTGTACATCTGAATTCAGGCTTAGTAAGGAGTTTACAACCAAAGCCCCAGCTCCAGACGGCCCATTCAAACCTTGGACGCAGAGGCCCTACAAAAATTGCCTTTGAACTGTGCTATCTAATGAGGTGACTGAATGCAAGGAAAGTAGCCAGGTTAAATGAGCCATGGTGGCGCAGTGCTTAGAATGCAGTACTGCAGGCTACTTCTGCTGACTGCCGGCTGCCAGCAATTTGGCAGTTCGAATCTCTGACTCAGCCTTCCATCTTTCCGAGGACAGTAAAATGAGGACCCAGATTGTGGGGGGCAATAGGCTGACTCTGTAAACTGCTTAGAGAGGGCTGTAAAGAACTGGGAAGCGGTATATACGCCTAAGTGCTATCGTGGCACGACAAAACTGCGCTCCACTAAAGCACGCCCAATTAAACCGCGTTGCTGACGTCATCAGCAGGGCGACAACAGCGACCACGGAGAAAAAAGGGCGCTTTAAATTGCGCTTTGAAAGCA